CGACTTGATGTGGCATATAAGACGGAAGAGTTCGATGTCCCGCTGTTCCGCCCAATCTGCAACGCAGGACGCAAGGGCGCAGACGGCCCTCGACAAGTCGCGCCTCGCCATCCTCGCGCCACATCATATCCCCATCGAAACTTCAACAGGAATGGGCTGCTGCAAGATGCCAGACGGAGCCGGCGGCTTGGAACTCACAGGTCGGTCATCTCCCACCTTGTTCCCGCCGACTTCAGGGGCGATGTCCGCTGGGTCGGTTTGAGTCTTGACGTTCAGGCGCTCTGCGATTGCCTCTTCGGCAGGGAACGCACCCTCCTTGAGTCGATGGACTAGCGGGGGGGGCCGCGCCACGGAAATCAAATTGCCCGAAGAAAGACATGGAATCTCTGGCCCAGCCGACCCTGGAGACGCAAGCCCAAGGTGACGCGGGAACACCGGGTCTTCAGGGATCCGTTGGACATGCGAATCCCCTTCCAAGCTCGTCAGGCCCCATCGCCTTGCCGGGCCCTTGGGCAGCCAGAGCAAGAGCTCCGCGAACCTCGCCCATGGCCAGAGAGAGAACGCGAGCGCCAGGCTCAAGATCTCTCTTATCGCACAACATGTTCTGCTGATTCGGGTAAGTCGAGTCGGGGAAACCGATCGGGGCTGGGAGTTGATCAGGTCGAGGAGGTCGGCGGCTTTCAACGGGTCGGCAAAGTCAAGCTTGATCTTCTGTGTCATACCACGCGCGCGAACAGTCGGTGGATGCGCGTCTTGTGGCACACCAGCCACCAAGACCGCGCCGGCCGCCCGCTCGACAGATGTCTGCCTCATCTCCCGAGCGAATCCAACAACGAGAACTCGATAGCTCACTGCGTCGCAGCCTGTCCTGGCGAGGGGATTCGCGAGGAACTGCGCGGTGACTGAACAGTCGCGGGCTGGCCCCCGAGCTCGGCTAAATCGTCGGTCACCCACTGAAGCTCGGAAGCACGGCGGCAACTGCGTTGTTGATGGGCTCGGGCTGGCTGGCTTCGATGTCGGCGATGTGGAGGTTGAGCTTTTGCGCGGGATGGTCCGCTTCATAAACGGCTGGCTGAATCGCTGGGACTTCCCGGGCAATCGTCTGCCCAAAGACAACCCTACGGCTTGAGTCCTTAATGCCTACGATCAGCTGCGCCATCCAGCTGGGCGGATCTAGCGGGGCCGCATCCATCGATTAAGCATCACTCCCGTCACTCCTGGAACGCGCAAGGTCGAAGCACATGAGGTCCGAATCTGAGATGGGGATCCGGTTGATCCGAGGTTGTCTCGGGCTCATGGCGCATGTTTTCGGCGCAGAAGATCTCGATGGGGAGCGCGAGTCGGGAGAGCTATATCTCTCATCCTTCATCTCTGGGGATCTCGGATACGCCGCTTAGCTGAATCGCCAAGACTCGCGCTTCTCCTGCCTAAGACCAGATCCCCCGCGCCCATCGGGTCAACTGGGGCAGCGCGAACCGCGGTGCGAAATTACTCGCAAGGAGAGATTTGGACAAAAGGGCCTGCCGCCGCACGAAGGCTCACAGCAAGGATCGCGAAAGGAACGGGGACCCGAATCGCTTGGAGCCGTAAGCCAGCCCTCGCGGCTTCGACCAAGCTCTAACCGCCGAGGTCCCGCGGTTAGAACTTGAGCCCACAATGCTACGGAACAGCGTTGGCTCACATCGTGGCGCGCGACTGATGATTCGGAAAACCGCGCAAATGCAGGCAGCTGAAGTGGCGGCCTCAAACGCCCGAGGTGACATCATCTGAGCGTGGCTCCCCCGCGCCACGCCGCTGGCCGTCGCGGCGCGGCGCCGACCTCCACTCCTGCTGGGCAGCGGGGGGAGGCTGTGGAATATGAACTGATTCTCATCGGCTGCATCACGCCGTCGATGCCGTGGGCCAGGCGAACCTGGAGGACGCGGCATAATCGCCGAAATCTGGACCGCCTGAACTACTTCGCGTGGCAATCGTGCGAAGGACCATCATGTTAGCGTGAAGCTCGTTGCGGTCGCCAGCGTCCTTGAAGAAGGCACAGTGCAAACATTCCCCCGAAGCCCCCCGAAACATGAGCAGAAGGCCTCACCTCTTTCGACGGACTTCAAGTCCTTCAGCTGGAGCACCCTCGCTGGAGCCAGCGTTGGAGGGCGAGCACCAGGAACAGTAGCACGCAGAAGGCCATGCGGGGCTGGCCGCACGGGTTCACGACGAGCCCCTCGACCACCGGTTTGCTGATGAGCATGTGCACGACCCCGCCGCCGCCGCGCCCGAGTTGTACTCTGGATCCTCGGAAAGGCCACCCCCACCCGCAACGTAACCGCAGTACCGGATGAGCGAGCGGCCGCCGATGAAGCCAGGGTGTAATCCTGCACACCTGGGCGCAAAACAGCAGCAAGGTGGAGGACAACGGCCGCGTGAACTTCCGCAGCGATATCGGTCCTCATCGCCGCGATGGTGTCCTCCAGCGCCGTGCGAAGTTCGGCCGAGGCGTCTCGCTCGCGACGCCTCGCGCCAGCATGGCGGACCAGCTGCTCTTCCAGGTGGCGCGTGCGGGCTTTCGGGAGGGACTCGTGGGCGGAGGGCTGCGACGCTCGGCCGGGGGCCCCGCCCCCGCGGCAGAGCAGCCCTGAGCCCCCGGTGTTGCGCCGCGTTCGCCGGGTGAGCCCGACAGCGGGCCGGGGAACGGGGCAGGATGGCCCCTGCGCGAGAGCCACATGCTGTGCCTCTGATATGAGCCCCCGGTGTTGTGCCGCGTTCGCCAGGTGAGCCCAACAGCGGGCCGGGGAACGGGGCAGCCTGCAGCGGTCAGGCACCCAAGGGATGGCTCCTGCGCGAGAGCCAAGTTCTTTGCCTCTGATGTGGGGCGCGGAGGACTGCATGAACGAGGGGAGGACGCCCAGAGCAGCGCGCGGCGCCAGCAGGGGCATGGCGGTCAGTGGCATGAGGAAGGGAGCGACATGGGCTAAGAGCGAACATTGAGGGCAGCGCCTCTCGTCAGAATCAAACGCAGTTTGAGCCAAAATGGCTACGGAGGAGGAGGAGGAAACCCCATCCCCGCATTATCATTGCAGAATGCTTCACGTGCACTGCACCATGGATCCCGATGCACCCTGGATCCAGGAGATAAACTATTATCATACTTATTTCAACAAAATAAATGGGTCCACTGGTTTTCCACAATGGCACTTTGATCCGCCGAGGGCAAGAACACGATCCACAAGGCTGTCGCCACCCGAGCACAAGGGTCCAAGTGGATTCATGCGTTTTACACGATTCGCTCCAAAAGGACAAAAACTGTCGGCCTGGGAATGAAGGAACGTGCACCCGTCTCGCACATGTGCGCAGGGCGGCGGTGGCAGAATATGTTCACCATACAGCAGGCGTGCGTTCCACTATCTCCGGCGCTCGCTCACCTGTCTCTCGCAACCAAAGGCAAACGAATGGCATCGCACGCCGTGCGAGTCATGTACTTGCCTTTGCTGGAGGCGCTGCGGCTCGAAAAGTAGCGACGCTCCCACGCGCGCCCCATACTAGCTCTCGCACACACACACACACACACACACACACACACGCACGCACGCACGCACGCATGCACGCACGTGCACGCGCGCATGCACACACACACACACACACACACCACGCCTCGTCACCCGTCTGCCTGAAGGACTGCGAGGGGTGGCCGATGCCAGAAACAGGGAACACAAAGAGCAAGGAGTTGGTGCGGGAGACGAAGCTCGAAATCCCACTGGAGGAATTGGCATCCCCTCGGACGTGTGCGCAGGGCGGCGATGGCAGAAGACGTCCACCATACAGCACGCGTATGTTCCACTATCCCAAGCGCTCGCTCACCTGTCTCTCGCAACAAGGGGCTAACTAGTGACATCGCACCCCGTGCGAGTCATGTACTTGCCTTTTCTGGCAGCGCTGCGGCGCGAAAGCTAGCGACGCTCCCACGCGGGCCCTATACGTGCACTCGCGCACGCGCACGCGCGCACGTGCAGACGCACATGCACACGCCACGCCTCGTCACCCCCCCCACTAGAAATCGAGGGTAAATCTGAGCCTTCGGGTTGGGTTGGGGTGATTTAATGGGTGGTGACCGTCCGCCTCAAGGCCTGAACGGGGCGGCCGGTGCCAGAAACAGGGGACTAAAAAGCAAGGTATTGGTGGGGGAGACGAAAGTCGAAATCCCACTTCCGCAAGCCGAAAAATCCTCTTGATATCGGCAGACCACGCGTGACTGTCGAGCTTATCATTGTTATGGGAGACATGAATGGACGCGCGCTCATTTTGACGCTGGAACTACTCAATAGCATGGGGGGATTATGGGAGTGGCTGGGGCCCGCAATCACAATCGAACCATCCATTGCTTCCATCGTTATGAGGGTGTTGTGGGAGTGGGCGGGGGCCCGCAGTGAAGATGATGATGAGGAGGAGGAGGAGGAAACCCCATCTCCGCACAATCATAGCATTATGCTTCACGCGCAGTGCGCCATGGAGTCCGTTCCCCCGGGCCCAGGACATGTATATATATATATATATATATATATATATATACGTAGCAGCTAAATACGTCAATGACTACACTGGTTTTGACCACACTGGAAATTGGATCCGCCAAGCGCAGAATGTGATCCACGAGTCTTTGGCACACCCGCAAAAAGGATCCAAATCCAATTGATTTTTACACGTTTTCCTCCATGCGGGAAAAAACTTTCGGCCGGGGGATGCCGGCTGCGCAAACCATGCCCTCCGAATCACGGTTTGCCCCGCTCTCCCCAACTTGCGCCGTCGATTCGCGCCGCAGGTTGCGCGCGGCACGCCGTCCGGATCACGGCCTGCCATGCGGTGCCTGGGTTGCGCCATAGGTGGCGCCACTCCTCCAGACGGCGACCCCTTCAAAATAGCAGGATCGACCTGCTCTGGTGAAGAGCAGCTGCGGACGCCCAATTTGTCGCACAGCCCTCGCCGCGGCCGAAGGAAGCACGGGGCGGGCGCGCCTCTTGTGCCAGAAGGCGCAGAGCTGACCACGCGGACAAGAAGCATTCGGAGAGTCCTCTCGCGTTCGAAAATACCACTCTCGCCCCGTCTTGGCACTCTTTCACCCCAACTTTCTCCTCATCGGACTCTTTCTCGTCCTCGCTCTCCTCCTCCGCCTCCTCCTCATCATCATCCTCCTTCTCATCCGCCCCATCATCACGAACCTAGTCCTCACCACCACAAGGCTCCTCCTCACCCTCACCCTGCTGCAGAAACAAGGCAGCATTGCAATGATGACGCATGTTTTGGATACCCCCCGTGAACTCGTCCCAATCGATGCCTCCTATCCTTCTCCGAGCTTGTCCAACTGTGGGAGAAGTCCCGCGCAAGTGAAGCAGATGACTGGGAGCAGAGGTCACGCCCGCTTCTGCGCGCTATGCTCTCTTGTTGTCGGGCCAGGTGTAAATTTATCTCAGAATGCTCTTGGATCGGCCACTGCGGCAAGGTAGTCGACATTCGAAAGGCCCACCTACGCGCTTGATGACTTTCCCAGGAGAGGCTTTGCACCGCAAAGATGGATTTATCCTCATTGCTGTTCGGTTTGGCCATCCAACTGGTACTCGAGCGGCCTGTAATATTGTGCGCTCGGCCATGCGTGCGAGGACGAAGACCATGGCTCGGCATCAGCAACGAATATCGCTGGTTCGTGCATGTGATGCCACGCAGCGAGGCCAAGGTGTGCGATGCTGCAGGGTATGGTGAGGGCAGTGGATAAGAAACCCGTTGGTGCAGAATCCAGGGTCTGAAACGTTGGTGGAGAACAAGTTGATGCCTGACTATGGATATCACAGCCGCCAGCATCAGATAAGGAATCCTTCAGGGTCTGAAGCCGTCTTGGCACATTCCTTAACGAACGCCCCCCACCGTATCTCCCAGAAAAGAAACGGGATGCCCTGCATCGCCGCCGTTTGCCGTGCACACGGGCTTACATTGTCTCCAGTCGTGCAGCGCTGGCGATTGACCAGCGATCCTGCAGGAGGGGGCACATACTGATGATCCTGTCCGCTCGCTCTCCACACATGCCAGGCAAGAGTAGGAGACAGACGAAGAAGAAATGCGGGAAGCCTGAGTAACGCGTGAAGGACACGCGGACTTACCTTCGCGTGTCAGCGTTGTCACGCTCGTATTGCTTTCGTTGTTTGATGAGGACGCACCCCCTTTCCATTCGCACGCGGCGTGAAATAGCTGATGGCCGTGGGCAGGTGCCCTTAAGCATGAAGAGCTGGCCAATAATGTGGGTGATGTGGACCAGCTGCTTGACGTGCCTGCGGATGACTGTTGCACGAAACAACTGCTGCACACCTCTCATTGGGCAAATCGGGTCGTGGCCCTCGATACCCCAAGCTAAGAAAGCGAATTGCCATGCTTCGTGGAATGGTGCCTGGCGGCAGTCCGCAGCCTCCCGTCATGGTCGAGCGTGCGGCTGCGACCCTCTCGGGCCAAGCTGCGGCCCGTCAAGTCAACCTGCCCTTGGTTGCGAGCTGGTGCTCCTGATAGGCCCACCCGTGCCAGGCGTCTCGCTCACAGTCTTGATAGCACGGCGCACACGTCCGCGCTCCATGTCAAGGCTCCGTCGCGTGCAGGCGGGATCAGACTTAGCGGGGGGCGACGACATGCGACTCGGCCTTGGGGATGCGGCGGTTGATGAACATGTTGAGCAGGCCACACATGGTCCCTTGCTCCGCAGAGGGCTAACTATACACCATCACCACCATGCCCAGCCAGGGCCATCCTAGGCCCTGCGATGGTGTACAGACCATCCTGACCTCGGCCAGGAGGGCGCATGCACCATGCAAGAGCCAGAATGCCTGCTCATGTGGGTCCCTTCTTCCTCTAACTATCCTTCCTGCGTGTGCGATAACGAGTGCCGTGTGGTAGCGCACCCTTGTCGTGCACTGCTCATTCCCATATTCCCTCGCCTGCTCCATCCTGGAGTGTGGTGCGAGGCCTGGCGAGCAGCCTGTGCCTGCTCGAAGATGGTATTCTGCGTGCGTGATTGCGCTATGTTTCGCCGAGTACCGCATGGTGGCGCACTCTGTCATCGGCGATGCCGAGGTGGAGCGCACGTGCTTCATACGCTTCATACGCGAGCGTTTGCACCAGCTGCGACTACAGTTGCGCGAGGCACTGCGGTGCTGCCAGCCAGTATCCTGATGACTTTCGCGCCCGACGGGGCCTGGAGTGCAGGCGCGGCTGGCTTTAACTGAGACCTGCAGGGGTCCGTCAGGTGTGTGTTGTGAGACCTGTATCGGCGCGGGCGCATGTCTGGTCTGGGGCTTCGGCGCCTGGTTTGAGGTGCGCCCGCGTGGTTGGGTGTAGCACGGCCCTCCTCCGTCTCCTCCTCCTCCTCTTCCTCCTCCCTGTTCCTTCTTCCTCCCTCCTCCTCCCTCGTCCTCGTCCTCCATCCATTTTCCTAATAAAGAGCTTCTCCCTGTCGCACCCCCAGACATGTCGGTTGGGCGGGCGAGGTGTTTCGCCTGAGACTTTTTCACCATGTATGACCGTAAAGCTTGAAATTGACAACCGCTTCAGAGATGGAGGGGGCAATTTTCAAAATGTTGCTCTCGCCTCAGCCCCGCGCACATTCGTCTCGATCGTCTGCAACGGTTTTAATGATCGGGGGTGCTGGTTTCAAAATGTTGCTCTCGCCCCAGCCCCGCGCACATTCGTTTCAAAAGTCTGGAACAGCTCCCAGAATGGAGGGGGGCCGTTTTCAAGATGTTGCTCTCGCCTTAGCCCCGCGCAGATTCGACTCAAAGCCTGCGACAATTTCAAGAAGAATGGAGGGGACTGGTTTCGAAATGTTGCTCTCGTCCTAGCCCCTGCGCACGTTCGCCTCAAAGTCTGCAGCAATTTCGATGCTGGACGGCGGCTCCTTGTTCAATGAGGACCTCGCCTTAGCGCCGCGCAGGTTTGTCGGAAAAGCTCGGGACGTGCACCGGGGTTGGGGGCGGCTCCTTTTCGAAAATGAGCGTTCGCTGGAGACCTGTGCCCTTGAAGGCCAGAGGAACTTGAGCAGCAGCTGAACGGATGGAGGGCAGTCCCTCAAACCTGACACTCGATTGATATCTCCATACCAGGGGCTTGAACGGATGGGACAGCTGCACGGATGGAGGGCAAGTCCTTTTCAAACTGGGGATTTCGCTTGAGTCTTCCTCGACGCGCATGGCCAGAAGTGAAAACTTGCGCAGACGTTACCCAGGTGGGACGGTCCTTTTTCAAAACAGGGATGTCGCTCGACATCCTGTTGAACATCATACCTTCGCGCGTTCCGTACTACTCGCTGCGAGGACACACGGCAGTTAGTTCCCTTTTCAGAACTAGGCTCGTCCCTGAATGGCGGGCCCCTCGGGCGCTGCTCTTTCAAGGGGGTGTTTCTTATTGGGTAAAGAAAGGCTTGCAGGGACTTACGGGAAGGGAACTTCGGACGGGAAAGTGGATTGCAGAATCGTTGATGCATCTTGGGTGTACTCTGGTCCTTCCCCTCCTCCACCTGTTCCCCCTCCAGCTTCTCCTCCTCCTCCTCCTCCTCCTCCTCCTCCTCCTCCTCCTTCTCCTCCTCCTCCTCCTCCTCCTCCTCCTCCTCCTCCTCCTCCTCCTCCTCCTCCTCCTCCTCCTCCTCCTCCTCCTCCTGCATCTCCTGAACATCCTCCTCCTCCTGCTCCTGCTCCTCCTCCTCCCCCCCTCCATCATCCAGCCTCCATCCTCCTGATCCTCCTCCGCACGCGCGCCAGTGTTGCCCCATCCGTCCGTTCCCATCACCTCGGTGGCCCGTCGATGGGTCTCTACGAGGGAACCAACAACAACAGTCCGCCACCGTATCTTGTGCACGTCGGGGCGTGTTCGAATCCTCCTCTACTGGCTGGCAAGGTTTCTTCCATGCTTTCTAGGGCCGGCCCTACCCGGCCGTCCCACGCGCCGTTAGAGGATCACCCCCCCTCTCCAGAGCCGAGCTCGGGCCCCTTACCATCACGCATTGCTGTTTGGAGAGGCCAATCTCCCAGAGAGGCCCTGGCCGAGGGGGGCTCAAACCAGTCAACAACAGCCAAGACAACCAAAGAAACATCCCAAAAACATCATCAAAACAAGCGAAACAACCAATCTCGCCCGAAGGCAACCACAAGGCCTCCAAGGCGGTCCCAAGACTGTCCAAGACGGCCTCCAGGCGCTGCACGAGGGCCCCAAGATGGCCCAAGATGGCTTCAAGACGGCCCAGGAGGCCCCCTCGACTGCCCAAGGAGGCCCCAAGAGGACGCCCAAGAGGCCCTCGAGAGCAAACCACAATACTCTTCCATATGGCTCTGACAGACTTTACTCTCTAGCTGCCGAAAGCCCAAGTCGGCCCAACAAGTCCCCATGGGGGGCCCCAAGACAGCCCAAAAAAGCACCAAGAGGGCCCAAAACGGCAAAGGGAGACTCCAAGACAACCCAAAAGGCCCTCAAGACGGCCGAATATGCACCAAAACGGCCCAAGGAGGCCCCTTAGAAGGGCCCAGGAAGCGGCGGAATCGAGCTGGCCTTGATAACTTTTTCCTACAACCCCAAAGACTCTCCCAAGAGGCCCAAGAGACCCCCAAGAGGCCTCCCAGAGGTCCCCATACAGACAACCGACAAAGCCATCCAACTGGCCTCAAAGGGCTCCCCCAAAGCCCTGAAGGGGCCCCAGAGAAGCTCCAACTTGCGTCTCGAATTCGACCTCCTTCATGCTGCGCTGGCGCGTTGGCGGGGCTTGACGCAGGCAGCTGGATACAAACAAACAAACAAACAAACAAACAAACAAAAACTCCTGCCCCAAACCCCTGCGTCCCTCCCCCCTCCTGGCAGGTCACGGTCTTGAAGTAGGCCGGGTGGTACAGCTGCTCCTGCCGGGCAGGGACTGGGCGGGCCGGGGGGGGGGGGGGGAGCCCCTACTGACTACCTGCCAGACCACCCCAACCCAACCCAAAGACCCGAATTTCGGGTGGGGGGGGGGGGGGTAAGGGTTCCACATGTGCTTTTTCGATGTTTCCCGACCCCCACCCACTGGAAATCGAGGGTAAATCTGAGCCTTCGGGTTGGGTTGGGGTGGCTTGGTGGGCGGTGACCTATGAGGTCGCTGGGGCAGCGCCGCCCCGTCCCTCCCGGGAAGCAGCCGGAAAAGCACACGCGGCTGCACTGCCGCGCGGGACCTCTGGAGGCCGCGCGCTGGCGGCTTCCACCGGCGGGGCCGCCGCAGCGCTCTGCCTCTCCGCCGCCCGCCGCCCGGGGAGGAGGCTCGGCGCCTTCGATCGCTCGAGGGCGAGGCCCCGTTCGGGAGCGGCCACGAAAAGTGGGGCAAGCAAGGCAAGGTGAAACGTCAGAAACTCGAAACACCGGGCGCATCCCACAAATCGACGAAGCAGAGACTCGCAGCAGGAGAGGTTGCGCTGCCTACGACGCGCGGTTCACATATGATCCTCAGAGGCCCAAGCTGGCCAGTGGAAGGCGTGCCTAGTTGCACACCTGCTTGCGCCAAAATGATTACTTGCGGGCATCCCTCATCCTCCTCCTCCTCCTCCACCTCCTCCTCCTCCTCCTTCTCTCCCTATTTCTCTTCCTTTTTTTTGTGACGGAGAAGGGGGCGGACCACGGCAGATGACGAATGCGGCTGGGCAGCACTGAGGCGCGCACAGTGACGGGCTGGATGGCCAGCGATAACCGAAAGACGTAAAAACCCAATTCACTCAAAATGGTTCCTCTGGGTCCGCCTTGTGCCGACAAGAGGTCCCATGCCCAGGGAGGAGGAGGCAAAGGAGGGGAGGAGGCGGAGGCGGAAGGAAGAAGCGGGGAGAGAGGCGGGGGAACCAACCGAAACGCCAGACGCAGCGCTCGGGCCAACCTGCCATAGGCGAGCCGCCGCGCGCAGCCGGGGAATCGGGGCAAAACTGCATAGTTGTACCAGAGAAATGGCCCCGTGAACGATCACGCAATGTAGAATGCCGACAGGAACTGAGGGGGAGAAGAGAGAGGGGGAGGGATGAGAGGAAGATAGGAAGGGGGGGGGAAGATCGGACAAGCCAGACCACTCGAATATCCCCATGAGGGCAGCTCCACACGGAACGAATCCATCAAAATATCACGATGATACAGTGTGGTGGCCCGGCAGCGGCGGCAGCGGCAGGAGAGGAGAGGAGAGGAGAGGAGAGGAGAGGAGAGGAGAGGAGAGGAGAGGAGAGGAGAGGAGAGGAGAGGAGAGGAGAGGAGAGGGCAGAAGACGAGCAAACTCAACACAACAGCAGCCACGTCGGTGATCCGCCTCCGCGCCTTCAGCCGCTGGGGCGTGCTCAATGGGCTAAGCTTAAAAGTGCCGCCTATTTTGGGCGACAATGTTGCGAGGCGGCATTTTTTGTTCCTCCGCACGATCGCCGCACGATCGAAGAACCACTGGAAATCCTAAACAGGATCGTTGCAAGACTCCACGCGGCAAAAATGGCAACCAGAAAGCGAGAGAGACAGCCGCGTCACGAAACGCGGCCCCCGAATGTGGAGAAGGAGCGTCGGGCGATACGAATCAAGCCGAAAACGGAATTATCAGCGCCACGGGGGGGAGAGGAGGAGGCAGAAGAGGAGGAGGAGGAGGCGGAAGAGGAGGAGGAGGAGGAGGAGGAGGAGGAGGAGGAGGAGGAGGAGACAAGCAGTAGGCCGAGCGCGCTCCAGCTACCGGCGATACGGGTGCGCAAGAATAGTGCGGCGCCGCGGCGCGCGCGGGGGCCGGAGAGCCTCCCTCACGAACGCCTGTTCCACTGCGACTGCTGCTGAATGCCCCCGGGCTGACTCCAGGGTGGCCTGGCTCAGAGCGTCTGCTGTCACAGGCCCCGCGTGCGTGCACCGGCGGGCCCGGCGGTGCGCTCTGTAGACCGCTGCCGTCCGCACCGCGGACAGCACGAGGAAGCCCACGGAGACGCTCCTCAGCGCGCGGTCGAGCAGCATGAAGTCCGCGAGGCTCTCCGCCGCCAGTGGGAGCGCCAACTGGCGTCGCGCGAAATCGCGCACGACCGGGCACCGCGCGTGGTGCTCGATCGAATCCTCCTGCTCCTCCTGCTCCTCCTCCTCCTCCTCCTCCTCCTCCTCCTCCTCCTCCTCCTCCTCCTCCTCCTCCTCCTCCTCCTCCTCCTCCTCCTCCTCCTCCTCCTCCTCCTCCTCCTCCTCCTCCTCCTCTTTCGGCCAAGATTTGGGCCCTCTAACGCTGTGAGCCCTCCCACGCCTTCTCCCTCGGCTTGCCTTGCACTCGCCTTCACTTCCCCTGCATGCTACAGCGAAAACACTGTCCTGGCTGCGCGGTTGGCACCAGGGTGCTCTTGCCCCAGACAGCGCCTGAATTATAGATGGGTCCTTCAACGAAGTCGATGTGCCTCCCGTTGGCCATGGTTGCCGCACTGGTACCCTCGCTATGCCTTGGCGACACAGCCTTTGTTTGAAACGCCAGCGCCGGTCGCCGCCACAAGGCCCCGGCCCCACCAGCCCCTGCGTGGCCATCAGCCCGTCATGCCGCCAACGCCAGTCGCGGCCACTCGCACTTCTGGCCCCTGCCATGCACAGCTGCACCTGGCCGCCGTCAGAGCTGGTTGACGCTGCCAGCCTCTGCTAGATCCTGTTTGACTCCGCCAGTCCTGGCTGCCGCCAGCACTGGGCACCTCCGCAACGCCTAAGACTGGCTCGAGACAGCTTCAAGACAGCTCCACACGGCTCCAAAACGGCCCCTGGAGCACCCCCGACGGTCTCAAGACGCCCCTCGGGGGCGCCAAGCTCTCACAAGGCTCGTGGCAGGCTGTCGAACCTCAAGATGCCTCCAAGACACCCTGCCGAGGCCAAATACGCGGAAAAGTTTTAACGAGTTCGAAAAGATCGTCCAGGGTGGCGTCTAAAAAGCATGGCTCTGGCCAAAGACAACGAAAAGATCTCAACAGGCTCGTGGCAGGCTTCCGAAAACACCTCCAAGGGATCCCCAAGAGGCCTCCAAGACATCCTGCCGAGGCCACAGGCGCGGAAATGCCTCAACAAGTTCGACATGCTTTCGCCTGACCACCGTGCATCGCCCAGAGTGGCTTTCAGCAGAAAGCCACCAGATAGCTCTGGGTGACCCCAGGCGGGCTCCAAGACATCAGAGAAGCCTTCCAGACGACTCAAAGATGAGCACAACACAGCCTGACATTGCCCCAAGACTGCTTCAAGATGACAGCCTTGCGGCAGAAGACTTGAAACCTACTTGCACCATTCATTTGGGCCTCGATGGGGGGGGGGTCAGGAGGGGGGGCTGCGATGGGGAGCCACGGTTCGGGGCTCGGGAGAGGGATAGGGATAGGGATAGGGATGGATGCAGAGGGATAGGGATGGATGCAGAGGGATAGGGATGGAGATAGGGACGGAGACAGGGATCGGGACGGCCATGGGAGGCCACGGGGGGCAGCGGGCGGCCCCGTCTCCGACCGAACTCTGGACCTGGCGGCGCAGCGTGCCAGCACCTCCGCGGAGGCCACGGGCGGCCACGGGAGGCCCCCGCCGCCTTCACACCGAGGAGGCCGCCGGGAGGCCACGCCGCCCCACCGACCTCCGGCCCGGGCGGATCCCAGCAACGAGCCCCGCCTGCGAAGCCCGCCTCTGCTGAATCCCACCGGGGCGGGAGCGGCTTGGGGGGCTGGCTCGGCCTTCCCCCCTGGCTTCCCCTGCCTGGGGAGGGGCGCAGCATTGCCCGTGGTGAACACACACACACACACACGCACACACACACACACACACACACACACACGCACACACACACACACACACACACGCACGCACACACACACACACACACACACACACACACACACACACACACACACACACACGCACGCACACACGCACGCACGCACGCACGCACGCACGCACGCACGCACACGCACACACGCACACGCACACACACACACACACATACACACCCTCCCCCACCCGACCTGCGACAAATTCGGGCACTGCCGAACCCCCCTTGTCAGCACCCCCCCCCCGCCATCCCCGTCAAAAAACAGTGGGAGGCGCACGCCGCGGCAAAGTCAAGACAGCGCGCGGGCGCCCCGTGATCACCCTGCGCCGGCTTCCGGCGACGACGACGGCGGCGGGGGGGGCCCTGATCTCAGCTCTGCGCACGCCCGTCGCCCGTGCCAGAACACGATGCAGCGTACACCTTGCGACTGAATCTAGACCATGCGCGGGCGCCCCGCGATCACTCTGCATGGCTTTTGGCAGGGACGGCGGAGGGGAGCCCTGATGTGTTGTACGCCCTGCGCATGCCCACCATAGGGGTCCACGAGCAGTGCAAAACGCAGTGTGCGGCACAATCTGGGTCGCGCGCACGGGGAGAGGGCGATCCCTTTGCGGAGGGACACCAACGCCTGCCTGAAACGCAAGCTCGAAGACCACCAAAGGACGCCACAAGTTGGGCCGGACTCTGCCCGGGGACGCGGCATCCAGGAAGAACGGCTTGGTCGTTGGCGCTGGCGCTTCGGCCTCCACCCGTTGCAGTGCATGCCCAGCGCTGCGCTGCCGAGGGGATCCCGACTCCTAAGCTCAGTGCGATCGGGCTCCCACGCTCGGCTGCTGCCTATGTGTTGGGAGGGCGGGCGGGAGTGAGCGAGGCGGTTCTCGGCTTCGTGGTAGCTCTGACCCCCACCCCCACCCCTACCCCTACCCCTACCCCTACCACCTACACCCTACCCCCTACCCCTGGACCTGGACGGGGTGTTCCGCGAGGGGTTGGAGCGTCCAGGATGGAATCGGCGAGGAAGAGAAAGTCGTTGATTGTACCAAGGTTTTGGTCACCTTTTGGCCTCCTGGGGGCGGGCCTAATGCATTACGGCCCCTCCCTTGATCGATCTCCTCCAAGATGGCCCCAAGATGGCCCCCGAGGCTCCCAAGGGTGCCCCAAGAGGTGCCCAGGAGGCCCCAACAGGCCCCTGAGAGGCCCCCGAAAGGCTGCCAAGCGACCCGACCCTCAAGAGGCCCCAAGAGGCCCCCCAGAGGCACCCAAGACGCCCCGAGAGGCTTCGGCGAGAAGGTCAGAATCACTGATTGTCCTGAGGCGTTGGCCACAGTCAGGAGCTCCCCTCCTTCTGATCAAAGTTCCAAGATGTCCCCAAGATGGCCCTCGAGGCTCCCAAGGTCCCCCAAGAGGGCTCTAAGAGGTGCCCAGGAGGCCGCGAGAGGCCCCCGAGCGGCCCCCAAGAGGTGCCCCAGAGGCTCCCAAGAGACCCCAAAGAGGCACCCAAGAGGCCCCCCAGAGGCACCCAAGACGCCCCAAAAGGCTCCCGCGCAAAGGCACATACGATTGATATTACGACGGTGTGGGCCACATGTTGGCCTCCTGGGGGGGGGTCCTGAGTAAGGAGCCCTCCTCCTTTGATCGAGCTGTTCCAAGGTGACCCCAAAATGGCCCCTGAAGCTCCCAAGATGCCCCAAGAGGGCCCTAAGATGTGCCCGGGAGGCCCCAACAGGCCCCCATGATGCCCCAAAGATTGCCCAAAGAGGCTCCTAAGAGACCCCGAGGAGGCCCCAAGAGGCCCCCCAGAGGCACCCAAGACGCCTGAAGAGGCCCCTGGACTGCCAAGAGACCCCAAGAGGACTCCAAGAAACTCTCGAAAGAAATCCGAAGAGACTCCAAGAGGCATCCAAGAGGCCAACGGCCTTTCTACTCGCCCTCCCCCTCCTCCTCCTCCTCCTCCTCCTCCTCCTCCTCCTCCTCCTCCTCCTCCTCTTCCTCCTCCTCATCCTCTTCCGCCTGCTCATCCTCCTGCGACCTCCCTCCTCCTCCTCCTCCTCCTCCTCCTCTCCTCCTCCTCCTCCTCCTCCTCCTCCGCCTCCTCCTCTTCCTCCTCCTCGTCCTCCTCCTCCTCCTCCTCCTCCTCCTCCTCCTCCTCCTCCTCCTCTCCTCCTCCTCCTCCTCCTCCTCCTCCTCCTCCTCCTCCTCCTCTCCTCCTCCTCCTCCTCCTCCTCCTCCTCCTCCTCCTCCTCCTCCTCCCTCCTCCTCCTCCCTCCTCCTCCTCCTCCTCCTCCTCCTCCTCCTCCTCCTCCTCCTCCTCTCCCTCTCCCTGCTCCTCCTCCGATCACTCCTCCATGATTCATTATTGGGGTACGACGTCTTATCCAACCCTTTGTTCCACTGCATTCTCCTCCACGTCCCTGATCCGGGCAAGTCGTGTGGGCATCGTTGCTGGATGGCTTGGTGGGGGTGCGCGAAGCGTCGAGAACACATTGTACAGGTAGATCTCTTACAGCCAATCTCTTTGTTGAAAGACAAGAAGATGGCTCAAAATCTACCCAACCCAAGACGGCTTCCAAACTGCCCCAGGTCTCCCCCAGATGGCGCCAAGACGGCTCGAAAGGGGTCCCAACAGACTGCTATGAGGCCACCAATAAGCCTCCGATATGCCTTCACGAGGCCTCTGAAGCCCAAGATATTGAAAGCGAGGTAATCTGGCATCGTGCCGTAGGTATTGAGGGCAGTGTCACGTCCGTCGGGTCTTCAATGCGCGTCGAATATTGCAAGTGGTCCACACGGCAGACCCCGCCTCATAGAAATTATGGGCGCTACTGGGAGGCGCTCTTCGGGCTTGTAAGACATGTTCCAGGTGCCCAGGGAGCGTGCATTGGAACCCAAGCTTCCAAGATGGCCTGAGAGGGCCCCCCGGCCCGTCTTACTTTTTGCTCATCACCCCCAGCGCAATGGCTGAGCATGTAGCGGCACGCGTGCTGGACCTCTCGCACATAATGAGACAACGGAGAGCTGCTTGGCTCGCTTCTTGGCAGGTATTGGCAGCCGCATTGGTCGGTCTGGATCTTGTGTGTGGTCTGCTGAGCTGACTTGCCCGACCCCGCCGCGCAGTTCTGTACATGGCAGGCCTGTCCGCCCGCCGAGGGCTGTGCGAGGCAAGTCCGCCCGCCGCGCAGGAGCAGAGCTCTTCAAACAGATTGCATGGCAGACCATCGCTTCGCGCGACCGCGCAATGACTCTGCTACATCTGCGGGGTTCAAAAGGGAGGGTTCACGTGTGACTACGTCTTGGCGTGCCCCCCAGACTGACCTCCAAGAAACAACAGTGCGGGCACACGCTTCTTCGCAGCATGCGACCTGCAAGATTTGTACACGATCGGCAACACCTGGCGGACTCACATAACCTTCCCGCGAGGTAAACCGCGAGCGGCACTCCACGCGTGCCTAGGATCTGGTACTTGAAGGGCGAACGTGTGGAGATGGGAGAGAGGAGGGGTGCAGGAAATGGAGAGGGGAACAACGCAAGAGCAGGGACCAGGGACAATGGGCAGCAAGGGGAACCGTAAGCCCTACAGGGGCCCCGAGGCCTCCAGGATCCCGATTCGGCTCTGCGCACGTCGGAGCACAAGATTCGGCTACATAAAAGTGGGAGGGCGGCGGTGGCGGCGGCAAGCTCGCGTGCAGCGAGGCCTGCACTCCGTTTTCCCACCGCTTGTCAGAGCGAATTGCGGGCGATGGAGATGATGGGTGGTCCGGGCACAGCGATGTCCATCGCCATCGGTGCTGTGCTCGATCTGCTGGGAGCAGAGCCGGGCTCGATCTGCTGGGCGCAGCGTGAACGGAGCTCCCCGCAGCCGGGCTACTGGTACGCCGTGCTGGGATGCGGGCCCGAAGTCTTGATCAATGAGCTGCTATGCCTGAGCTCCCGGACGTGCCGCTTCAGGAGGACGCTGATGTATGCCGACCACCGCTCTACATCTGCCCTCTTCTTGTCGGCAGCGGCGTCGCGAATTATCTTTATCGCCTTGGACACCCCTTCGCGACCGTCGACCGTGCGGATGGCGTGGAGGTGCTGCCTCACGAGGCCGTCGAAGTCCGCCTTGCGGAGCACCGGGGCCGACGCGAGGAGGACGCACAGCTCCGCCTCGATCTCCGTCCTCGGGTCCCTGGGCCTGCGCGCGGGGCCGCTGCCGTCGCTCGTCGCCACGCTGGCGCTGTCGCCGGAGCCGGCTCCGAAGGAGGTCGAGCAGGCGGTCAGCGGCTCCTCGCTCCAGGCGCCCACGGGCCACGGCGGGCCGCGGCCTGCGGTCTGCGCGCAGGCGCCCAGCGCCGTCCAGGCGCTGCTCGGGCCTTCGCCGCGGGGCCCCCGCTCCACCTGGCCGGGGTGGAGCCTGCCGGCAGCAATGCGCTCGTTGGCCTCGAGGTTCTCCTCGAACGTCCAGCCAGCCGGCGCATCTTCCCCAAAGGTGTCCTTGTTCATGTGGTCGGCCCCACCTTCTGCGTCCTCTCGAGCTTCCATGGCTTGCAGCTGGAACTCGTCCATGCTGAGGGGCTTGGGTTCTGGACGAGAGGCGATCACGCCGGGAGGCCCATCCTGGTGAAGCAGTGTGAGGAGCTGCTGGCCCTCTACAACCCTGCTGTCTTTCTGGAGCGCCTTCTGGCCCTGCTCGGTGAAGAGCACCATGTTCACCGCGACTCCCGCGGTGCTGCAGCTGCCCGGCCTGGTGGTCGCCATGTCGCCCCTGGTGAGCACCCGAAGCTGCAGGCCCTCAGCGGCCGCCCTGAGCGCCAGCTTGCCCGGGCCGTCGATGCCGTTGTGCTCCAGCCGCAGCCACAGTGGAGCGCGGCCCCGGGCACCCATCCTGTAAGGGTACCGGCCTCTTGAGTGGATCGCGCGGAGGAGCGCCAGCACGCCCTCGCCGGACACGGCGCCGCGCAGGTCCGAGAGGTGCAGCTCGTGGGCGTGGCCGTCGGCGACCCAGCTGCTGAGCGAGTAGAGCGCCTTGTCGCCAATGGACGTCTGGTAGAGCTTGAGGCGGCGGCAGAAAGGCCACTTCTTCAGGAAAGGCACAAGGAACACATCGACGCCGTAATCTGAAATTCCACAGTTTCTTGATAGGTCGATGGTAAAATCGGTATTAGGATCTGCTGTAGTGTCAGCGTCAGTGTAATAGTCGGTCAGCAAGGCGTCCAGGCGTGCCGTCAACGGCTCCAGGTCCGCGTCGCAGATGCCCGCGTCACAGAGAGCCACACGCACGGAGCGGGCATGCAATATGATGTGCTCGTCCCACCTCCAGCTGCTGCCTGAATCAGCGACACGGGGGGAGCTGTATGACGCACGCCTGCCACTGTCCTTGGGGCGCCAGTGCCAGCTCATCGGGCGGAGCGCGGGCGCGCACTTGAAGGCGAGGCCCACGGCCAGCGAGGCCGAGAGCCACAAGATCTTTGGCCAGAATGGCTACGGAGGGCCGTGCGGGGCCCGTCTCGAGGTGGGGCTCTCTTGCGTCATCTTGGGGCCCGTGGGGGTCGGATCAACAGGCTAAGATGCCTGGAACAGAAACCAGCTTTTGCACGACTCCGCAGCGTCGCCGTCCCAGCCTCGAGATCGTCCAAAATGGCCCCAGAGGTCCCCAAGGCTCGCCCAAGAGGGACCCCAGGACCTCCAAGAGAGGGTCCAGAGCCCCCAGGAGGGGCCCAAGATAGCGAACTCGACGGGTTCAGGGAGACCTCCACCCAAAGATGGCCCCTGAGACCGCCAGCAGGTGCCCAAGAGGCCCGCAGAAGCCCCCAAGTGGCCCCCAGCAGGCCCTCAGGATACCTCCCAGAGGCCTCGAGATGCCCGAAAATTCTTCTGACGAAGGGCCCAAGCAGATGCAGTTGTGAATATCGCCGTTGTTGGTATCGCCTTCGGTGGATCTCCTTGTGGGGCCACGAGGCGTGTAGAGGGTGTGCCGAAATGTGGCGGGGACGCATGCGGCCGCAGCCATTGGGCCTTCGGTGGCGCTCCATATGGGGCCACGAAACGTGTGAGGGGTGTGCCGAAATGGAGCGGGGCCGCCATGCGAACGTCGCTGGAGCCCCCTAGCGGGCCACGAAGCGGGTGAGGGTATGCCGAAATGGGGCGGGGCGGACCTATGCGAATGTTGCCACTTGGGCCTTCTGTGGAGCTCCCTTTGGGGCCACGAAACGGGAGACGCATGTGATCACAGCCACTGGGGCCTTCGGTTGAGCCCCCTACAGGGGCACGACAGCGCCGTACTGGCTGGCGCGGACCGCATGTGAACACAGCCATTGGGGTCTTCGGTGGAGCTCCCTATGGTAGGGAAACGAACTGTATACACCGACGCTTTGCCCGACCCTGCGCTGAAATTCGCACAAACACGTGGATCCTGGTGTATACGGGGTCCTGGTGTACACATGTTTTGGGCGCATCCCAGCGGGCACTTCGCTGCGAGCCCAGCGACTTGGGCGGGCGCGGCATCATGGCAACGTTAACAACGGTAGACGCGACGGCGACAGGAGCGATGACGGTGGCGATGTTCGCACCGACGAAGGCGGGCACCGATGCTGATCGCGCCGACGACGACGACGGCGTCCTCGCGTCGGCGATGAAGGTTTTGGAAAGGCTTCGACGTCCGCGCGCGGCCGACGTGCGCGAGTGGCCCGCATAATCTCATTTGAAACATCGCGCCCCCCCCCCCCCCCAGCACGGGCGCAAGAGCGCGCGAATGATGTCGGCATGCGTCGCCAGAGGCCCGCCCGTTTGGCAGAATTCGATGAACATGAAACGTACCTATATGTACATATTACAAACAAAAGACGGTTTTCTCCAGAACGCGCAAGAGCGCGAGCGCATGCTTTTTGGGAAAACCATGTGTGTTGGAAAACCATGTGTGTTCGAATGCTGTTAAGATTTTCTGATTTAAAACCGCTGCGAAAACGAAAATTATTCAAGCGTGTCGGCACGCGCGTTCGACGACGCGCGCGCGCGCGCGCGCGCGTGCACTTCGCCCAGTTTGTTGCAAGGGATTTTCGCGACGGCACGCGCGCAAGGCGTTCGAACGACGTCGACATGCGCGTGCGGAACCCCTTTGGTAGTAGTTCCTGAAAAAGTTCGAAAACCGATGGTTTTCTGAAGAATTCACAAGCGCGCGCGCTTATTTGTGTCTGAAAACCCGCGTTGGAAACTCGATTTTGACATCGCTCCCACACCAGTGGTGTTTGAATGCTGTCGGCACGCGCGAGCGACGACGCGCGCACGTGCACTTCGTCACATCTGTTGCAAGGGATTTTTGGTAACTGATGATTTGTGATGAACGAATGCGCGCGCATAATATGCGTCGCAGAAAATGGCGGGGGCGTCGATGCCGGCCTGGCTGGGACGACACGAAGGGGCAGAATCACAAGGGAGGGGGGGGGAGGGGGAGGGGGGGGGGTCGACTGGAGAATCCGCCAATGCTCAACTTGAAATTGCCCGCTCCACTGCCCGCGCAAACATCCCGCGGGCCCACCCGCAACCTGGTTTGCAAATCCCATGCGGAAGCGATGGCGATCGTTGGCTGGTGTATCTCTGCGGCCGCGCTAGCCCGCGCATGCTCGCGCGCGCGGCGGCCAGCTAGTTTGGCGCGACCGACGCGAACGCGGGGGGCTGACCGCTCGGCGCAATCCAACGGGCACTTCAGTGCGAGTCGGCGACTTGGGCGGGCGCGGTACCATGGCAACGTCCACAACGGTAGTCGCCACGATGATAGCGGCGATGCTGGTGGCGATGCTGACGGCGACGACGGGGCGGCCAGTGACGGCGCCGAGGCTGATCGCGCCGACGACGATGACGGCGTCGTCGCGTCGGCTATGAAGGTTCCAGAAGGAGTTCGAAGTGCGCGCGCGGCAGGCGCGCGAGACCGGCCCGCATGGTATTATTTGGCCCGGATCACGCCACCCCTGCAAGCGCGCTAGGGCGTTCAAACGTTTTCGACACCCGCGCGCGAGGCCCGTTGGGTAGCATGTTCGAAGCAGCATGTTTGAGAATTCGCATGAGCGCGCGCAAATATATATATATATATATATATATATATGCCACTTTTGCAAGTGTTTCGGACACTCGGTTTTGACATCGTTACGAGTGCGCCGGTTTTTGGCGGATCTCGGCATGCGCGCAAGACGACGCGCGCGAGTGAATTTCGTCGCAGTCGTTGCAAGGGATCCTTGCAAACCTCTGATGTGCGATAAACGAATGCGCGCACACTATATGTTTTGCAGAGGGTGGCGGGGGCGGGGTCGATACCGCTCGGGCTGGGAGGTAATGGATCCATATTTAGGAATGACGGTAGGGAAGAACAATGCGCAAATGGCAACACGAAGAAAGGGAACCGATAATCCCGGGGGGGAAGGGTAGAGTCCATTCTCTTTTTGGGAAGGAAAATTCACTTGCCGAACTCGAGGTCGCCAACTCCACTGCACGCGCAAACGCCCCGCCCGCCCGCCCGCAACTCGGTTTTGAAAAACCCACGCGGTGGCGATTGCAATGAATGCTTGGCGTTGGCTGGTGCACCTCTGCGGCCGCGCTTGCCCGCGCATGCTCGCGCGCGCAGCGGCCAGCTAGTTTGGCGCGACCGATGCGAACGCGGCGGGGCTGACCGCTCGGCTCATCCCAGCGGGCGCTTCAGTGCGAGCCGGCGACTTGGGCGGGCGCGGTACCATGGCAACGTCGACAACGGTAGACGCGACGATGATAGCGGCGATGCTGGCGACGATGCTGACAGCGACGACGGGGCAGCCAGTGACGGCGCCGAGGCTGATTATGCGGGCGACGATGACGGCGCCTTTGCGTCGGCGATGAAGGTTCTGGAAGGAGTTCGAAGTGCGCGCGCGGCAGACGCGTGAGAGTTGCCCGCGCGTCATTAGTTGACGCGGATCGTGCCACCCCAGCACGCGCGCAAGGGCGCTCGAACGTTTTCGACACGCGCGCGCGAGGCCCGTTTGGTAGCACGTAATAAACATGCTGGGAAACCGATGGCTTCCATAAGAATTCTCAAGAGCGCGCGCATTTTTTTTGAAATGCGCGTTGCGAAGCCATGTGTTTTTGCATGTACTTTGGACTCTAGGTCTTGAACCCGTTACGACTACGCAAGTTTTTGACGGATTCCGGCATGCGCGCGCGACGACGCGCGCGTGCGTTTCGTCTTCTGTCGCAGGGGAGCCTTGGAAACTTATGATTTGCGATTAACGAATGCGCGGGCATAACGGCTTTTGCAGAAGATGGCGGGGGGTGTCGATACCAGTTGGGCTGGGGTGGGATGTATTCTCTAGGATGGGCGACGGGACATAATCGAATGTAAAGTGCAATACGAAAAGGGGTACCAATAATCCCGGGAATGGGGGGGGTAATCTACTTTTAAAACAGGAGAAATGATTTGGGCAAACGAATTGCACATCCAATGCCCTTGCAAACACCCCACCCGCCCGCCCGCAACTTGGTTTGCAAAACCTACGCGGTGGCGATTGCGTGCGCGCTTGGCGTTGGCTGGTGCATCTGCGCGGCCGCGCCAACCCTAGCACGCGCGAGCAGCGGCCAGCCAGTTTGGCGCGACCGACGCGGCCGCGGCGGCGCTGACCGCTGGGCGCATCCCAGCGGGCAATTCACTGCAGGTCGGCGGCTCGGGCGGGCGCGATATCCTGGCAACGTCGACAATGGTAGACACGACGAGGATCGTAACGATGCTGGTGGCGATGCTGACACCGACGAAGGCGCGGCCAGCGCGGGCGCCGATGCTGATCGCGCCGACGACGATGACGGGGTCCTCGCGTCGGCGATGAAGGTTTTGGAAAGAGTTCGACATGCGCGCGCGGCCGACGCGCGAGAGTGGCCCGCATGGTTGAACTGGACACGGATCGCGCCACCCCCAACACGCGCGCAAGGGCGCCCGAATGGCATTGACATGCGGCGCCAAAAGCCATTTTGGTAGCATGATATGAGCATGTTGAAAAACGTACGGTTGTCGTAACAATGCGCAGCAAGAGCGCGCGCACATGTGGTTTATTGACGTTGAGAAACCATGTGTTGTTGAAAATGTTTCTTGACATTCGGTTTTGACATCGTTCCGATACCGAAGGTTGTTGAAGGATGTCGGCATGCGCGCGCGACGACGCGCACGGGTGCATGTCGTCCCGTTGTTTGCAGAAAGGATTCTCGCGACGGCACGCGCGCGAGGGCGTTCGAACGATTTCGACATGCGCGCGCGTGAAGCCCGTTTGGTAGCATGTTCTGAGCAGGTTGAAAAAAGCCATCGTTCCCTCAAGAATTCGCAAGAACGCGCGCGCACACTTTTTTGAACATCCATGTTGCTTGCGAACACCTGTATTTTTGCTTTTGGACACGCGATTAAAACATCTTTCCGAAACCGAAGGTTTTCGAAGGATTTCGGCATGCGCGCGCGTCGCGCGCGTGTGCACTTCGTCGAATGTTTGCCAGGGGTCATTGAACACCTCTGATTTGTGATAAACCAATGTGCGCGCATATTTTTGTTGCCGAACATGTCGGGTGGGGGGGGCGGAAACCGGCTGGGCTGGGATGGTATGGGTATCCATATCTCGGATGGACGATGGGGCAGAATCATTTGCACATTACACTACCAAAAGGGGTGTCGATAATACCAAGGGGGTAGAGTCTGTTCTCTTTTTGGAAAGGAGAACCTGCGCGGTGCACTCTATATGGTCCAAGTATGTGAGGCCGCGACGAGGCGGCGACGGGGCGCGACGGAGACAACATAGCCGCCAGACCTACGCACAGGCCCAGGTGATGAGCGGCGACGAGGCGGCGACAGGGCGGCGACGGTAATATCATAGCCGCAAGACCGACGCACAGGCCCAAACGATGGACGGCGACGAGGCGACGACGGGGCGGCGACGAAAACAACATAGCCGCCAGACCGACGCACAGGCCCAGACGATGGGCGGCGACAACGTGGCGACAGGGCGGCAACGCCAACAGCATAGCCGACAGACCGACGCGCAGGCCCAGTTCCTCAGAAAACAAATCAGAACCCCTAAGTGAAAGCACTGTTTGGGGAAAACACAGTTTCAGAAACTCCCATGGGGGCACCTGCTGGAAAGGCATCTTCTCATTTGCGGCATCGGCTGCGGTCAAAGGAATACCCCCCATGCTGGCCGAATGTCTTTCCGCCAAGACAGCGACACACCT